GTCTATACCCAAAGGGTCCAAAGTACCTGTACAGCAGAGTGTGGGGTTTCTATATTAGGAATTCTTCTTATGATTTGGGAAAGTACCCCCCATAAAAGTACCTAGGACCCTTTGGATAAGCCCTCAACTCCAATTCTAGAATCTGGATGACGTTGGGGCTCCCCGACACTCCGCTACCACGGAAACGACTCTGATGAAGCTGCTAGATATCATCACCATGTCAAGCCATGTTGTTTATCTCAAAGCCAACAGACAGCACAACAAGTCCTAAACCGTCAATCTCTACCCCAAACTTTAAGCCCTGAACCTCTAAACTTTCACCTGAACCCACAGCGTGTCGATCGAGAGGCCCGATATCATTGGCTTGCAGGCGGGCCAGCTGCATGTAACTGAAGCAAGGCAAGCCCCGACGCTCGGGGAGGTACTATAAGGATTGACGTCAGGGGTTGCTACAGGGAGTTGCTGTACGGCATGCTACCATAGACATTGCATGGAGCATCTCAGTGTTCATTTTGAGGGCCTTTGGGTGGGCGTGGGCGTCATGTAGGTGCCTTAATAATTAGAATGGGGTTTTGGGCTCCTGTACAGTCGAATCAAGAACCCTATGGGATGATATCGGTAATTATTTAGGCTTCTATTATTTCATGATTTAATTTTTCTTCGGCCAGGACGGAAGCCATTTCGTTCCGGAGGCCTTTTTGGCGCCCTACAGCACCTGTGTAATCCCCCCTCGATCCCAGCTCGAAGGAAGCGACAAAACAACTCTATTTTGGAAGATACAGAGGTCACTGCATCAAGGATGAGGGTTTTGAGGCTCAGACCCTAAATCCTAAACCCTAAACTTCCCAAACCCTAAAACCCTAAACCCAGAACACTAAACCCTAAACTTCCTAAACCCTAAGGACCTGAAGATTCGGGATTTCGACTTCTCCGTGGAGTACTTCCAGGGCGCCTTCTTGAATCCCGAGCCCGCATCTGTCTGAATCCTCAAGGCAATCCCCGACTCGGATTTTGCATTCCCCCTGTGAGAAGAGCAGAAGCCCTCCACCCGCCAAGGTTTGAGGCTAAGGGCTTAGGGCTGTAGGGTTTACCTGTAACCGAAAAGACCTATCTTTTTACGGAACTACATAGAGAAACCATAATATAAGGAAGCCTTAAATGGCAGGTCTTTCCGGCTGGAGAGGGTTGAGGGTTTAGGGCTTAGGGTTGTCGCTGCTTGGAGTTTTAGAGATCTGGTTTCCTGTTTGGGCTACATTAAAAATCATCACTATTTCAATCCTTGTTAGGTTTCACTATAAATGGGTAGTTCTCTAAATTAGGGTCCCTTTTTAGATCCCCAATATAGTACGGCACCTTAAAAAGGACCCTAAAAGGGACCCTAATTTAGAGAACTACCCAAATGTATAATTGTAGCCAACAGGGACCCAGAGATGAAGATGTTCGACCTGAGGATAAGTACCTGCTCTTTGCTTTAAACCCCTGAACCCCAAACCCTAAAGCCTAAAGCCCACACCCTAAACCCCTAAACCCTAAACCCCTAAACCCCTAAACCCTAAACCCCTATACCCCTAAACCCCTAAACCCTAAACCCTAAACCCTAAACCCTAGCGAGGTAGGCCTCGCGAGAGCCTTTGACAGTCTCATCGTTCGAATCCTCCCCGAACCCCAACCCCCTAAACCCTAAAAGCCTCAACCCTAAACTCTATACCATAAGCCGTAACCCCCAAACTCTAGACCCTGAAGCCCTCAACCCTAAACTCTATATCACAGGCCCCAAACCCTAAACCCTACATCCCCTAAACCTAAACCCCTAAACCCTAAACCCCTAAACCCTAAACTCCTAAACCCCTAAACCCTAAACCCTGAACTCTCTCCCCTTTTGGGAGAACCTGAGCAAGTGCAGAGCGTGCTCCCACTCCGAGCCGTTGTCACATGCACTGATGGCCGCGTTGAAGCAGATGCGGTCGGGTGAGATCCTTGAGCTTTCGGGTTTTAGGGCTTTAGGTTTTAGGGTTTAGAGCTTTAGGGTTTTAGGGCTTTAGGTTTTAGGGTTTAGGGTTTTAGGGTTTTAGGGCTTTAGGTTTTAGGGTTTAGGGTTCAGGGTTCAGGGTTATAGGGTATGGGTATAGGGTTTAGGGGTTTAGGGTTTAGGGTTGAGCAACTGTGCAAAGTTGTATAATTGTATATGGTCGTACAGTTACATTATACTATCTCATAGTGTAGTGTATTGTAGAAAAGCGTAGTATAGTATACCATAGTATAGTAAAACTAGTATACAGTATGGTAAAGGAAAGTAGAGTAAACTAAACATGTTGAAGAGCGTCTGCAGGAACTGGGGGTGCGTTTATTCTACGAATCCTATTGTAAACCTAGACCCCTACAAACCATTCTCTCAGAAATCGGGAGTCCACCGGCAGTGAATCGCGCACCCACGGCAAACCCTCAGACTCAACAAGATGAGGCTGAACCCCTTTAGGGTTTGGGAAAACAGGGTTTTAGGGTTGAGGGTTTAGGGCTTAGGGGTTTATGGTTTGGGGTTTAGGGTTTTGGGGTTTTGGGTTTTTAGGGTTAGGGTTTAGAGAGCAAAATAAACACAATCCCTTCTTCAAAGGAGCTGTTGTGGAAGGCTCCGACGAGCCGAAATAGAATTTGCCTAACTTCAGCTGGCTTGCACAATGGTTACTCAGAAGAAGCTTTGATAGGGGGAGCAGTTCTCAAAGCTATGCAAAACTGTCTATCGGTTTACTTCCCTATCCATCCATCCATCTATCCATCCATCTACGTCTATCTATCTATCCATCCATCTATCTATCTATCTATCTATCCGTCCATCTGTTTATCTGTCTACCTGTCTGTCTGGGCACTGTTGCAGCATTAGTGTTGGAAACTAGAGAGAAGCCTACGACCTTCATCGCAGAGGCTTCCCCTAAGGGTCCTGTTTTGGGGATACTTTCCCAAATCAGAATAACAGTTCCGAATACAGAAACTCTACATTCTACTATATAGATACTTTTGATCATAATAGCAGTTCCGAATATAGAAACCCTACATTCTAGTATAATAAGTACTTTGGATCATAATAGCAGTTCCGAATATAGAAACCCCCTACATTCTGCTAAAAAGGGATACTTTGGACCCTTTGGGTTCAAGCTCGGGACCGAAATTTTATTTCCTCATTGAAGAGACCTCTGGGTTTGGGACGGAAGCTGTTGGAATAAGGAAAAACGACCCAGCTTCGTATGCCATAGGCTACTAAAACAGAGGGGGGGTCTGTTCTACTATAAACAATAACAAAGAACCCTAAGCTTTAGATACCATAGGCTACTAAAACAGAGAGGGGGGGTATGTTCTACTATAAAGAACAACAAAGAGCCCTAAGGAACAGTATTACTAGTTTTTCAGGCGTCTATAGTAAGCCCGGTAAGCCGCGACATGCCCTGACCATGCTAAATGCGGGAACACACCCGAACGATTCAGGGCTTAGGGTTTCGGGTTAGGATCAGTCGAAGGCTCCGAGACATCTCCATCCACGTCCTGAGTCGAAAGCATGAATGTCGAACCAAAACTATAGCAGAGAAAGTTCTGCGTGCTAGGCCCCTGCATAGACCATGAATCGGAGATGGAAGCGCCTGCCGTATGTTCATCGTCGAATACAAAGACACGGTTGAAACCAAGGGTGTAGTTCTCTGAATTAGGGCCCCTTTTAGGGAGATACATCGCCCACAAAAAACGACGCACATTAGGGTTCCTTTTTAGGTCCCCAACAGAGCACGGCACCCTTATAAACAGGACCCCAAAAGGGACCCTAATCTTTAAAAATCTACCCATAATACAGTATTGCTGAATCATCCTCCGTGACTTTGAGTCTCCCTTTTGTTAAGGAGTTGATTTGGGGTTTAGGGTTTAGGGTTTAGGGGTTTAGGAGGGGAGTTGAGGGTAGAAAGGGCTTCTAAACGGCTTCTATAAGGTATATAGACCTTCTATAAGTCTCCTATAACGGTAACTACCCACATGAAAATGTCCTAGACTTTCTTGCTTCAACACAACACAGCCCGCGGTGGCTTAAAAGGCGTCAGGGTCGGAAATAGTCTTGAAGCCGAAATATGAAGCCTGAATCATTTGCCTTCGTAAGGGTTTATACAAGAAAACCACAAAAAGGAAAACTAACAAAGGTTGGTTTTTTCGCTTGAGCTTCGTTGCTTCCTGAAGCCCGATGCCATCCAATGGTTCCCTAGATGCCAATGCCCAATGTGGGAAAGTTTTGGGTTTGATATAGGGGCCATCATCATTAGAATAGGGTTGGGGGGGCCCATTATGCTTATAACAAGGAACCCCAATATAGTGTTGGTAATTATTTAGGCCCCTCAGTAGGGATGAGGTTGATGGTTGGGATCACGACAAACCCTAAACCCTAAACCCTCAACCCTAAGCCCTAAACCCTAAACCCCAAGGTCTAGGGACAAGGCGAGGCAAGAACCACAAAGAAAGGCACAGATGGCGCAGCTCCCCGACTCTTACCCTAAACCCTAAACCCTAAACTCTAAACCCTAAACCGTACCCTAAACCCTAAACCCTAAACTGCTTTTAGGGTTTATAAGGGTTTAAGGCCTCCCGAAGCTGCTTGAGGGCTTCCATAAACCCAAAACCCGGTTCAGAGTTTAGGGGTTTAGGGTTTAGGGCTTATAGAAATTGTTTAGGGTTCAGGTCCTGAGTTTTGGGCGGTTTTGACCGGGTTTTGGGCGGTTTTGACCGGGTTTTGGGCGGGTTTTGACCGGGTTTTGCCTTTTGCTTTTTGTCCAATTTTGCCTGCTTTTCAAGCTTAGGTTTTGAGCGGGTTTTGGGCGGGTTTTGACCGGGTTTTTCCTTTTGCTTTTTGTCCAATTTTGCCTGCTTTTCAAGCTTTTCCTTTTGCTTTTTGTCCAATTTTGCCTGCTTTTCAATCCGGGTTCAAGTCCTGAGTTTTGTGCGGGTTTTGGGCGGGTTTTGCATTTTGCTTTTTGCTGCTGGTAGCTTTGCTTTTTGTCCTTTGCTGCTGAAATTCCTTTCACTGAAAATCCGCCTTGGAAGGGTTTGGCTTTTGTTTTTACTGCTGAAAGCCTTTAATTTTGCTAACTTTCACGGGGTTTTCCCAAATCCACAAAATAAGCCAAAAAGCTTTTTTTCGGGTGCTCTAACGCGCCGCGGACACACATTTGTTTCTGGAATTTTAGTTTTTGTGCTTCTGTTCTGTTCGTCGAACAGTACCACCAAGCCCTTGATGCAGGATTCTAAACAATTTCTATTTATCCTGGGCTTGAGAGTTTAGGGTTTAGGGTTTAGGGTTTAGAGTTTAGGGTTTAGGGTTTAGAGTTTAGGGTTTAGGGTTTAGACCTTAAACCGTGGATCTAAGATCTGAAATCGTCCAAGTCTCAGCACGTATAAGGCCAGTCGCCAGTGCCCACCTTTCTTGCTGCTGATCACCCCTTACCCTAAGGCTCAAAATAGCCCAAAAGCCTCACGCAGGATGATAGTACGGTCTTTGGGCCCAAAAGCCTTATAATGTGAGTCCATAACCCTAAACCCTAAACCTCAGGGTTAACAATTCAACCAAATCAAAGACCGAAATGACGGACGCATTCAACCGACGCCCTGAGGCATCAAAGACACACAAAACAAACAACGGTGGATCCTGCACAAATCAGAGGTTTAGGGTTTAGGGTTTAGGGGTTTAGGGTTTAGGGTTTAGGGTGTTAGGTTTAGAGTTTAGGGTTTTAGGGTTGAGGGTTGAAGGTTTAAGGGTTGAAGGTTTAGGGTTTGGGGTTTACGGTTGAGGGTTTAGTTAGGGTTATTGCCAGGCTTTCAAGAAATCCACGAGCTAAGGAATATCTACATGAAGCTTTCATCGGATCCTACTATATTTTTTACAGTATCCTGTACCCTAAACCCTAAACCCTATACTCCTTGAGTCGGGTCCTACTATGAGTTAGAGTATCCCATACCCTAAACCCTAAACCCTATATTTTATAAACCCTAAACCCTAAAACCTAAACCTTAAACCCTAAACCCTAAAACCGTAAACTCTAAACCCTATAGCCTAAACCTTAAACCCTAAACCCTAAACCCTGAACCCTGAACCCTAAATTCCCA